GAGCAGCTTTGTTACACTTAAAAACAACTGCTGCTTCGCTGGTTCATACACCATTAGGCTTGAGTGAAAAACTGTTCTTAATATTTGCTGTTTGACAGCAAATAGACAGCTTCCCTGTTGTAGTTTGGTAAAAGATTGTTTTTAGGTAGGTACTACCTGAAATTTAGGAAAACCGTTTAGTCAAGACATTGTTTAGATTACGATTATTTCTATATAGTTTTAGTACCGTGAATTTTAAAAATGTAAAGATATTCATATATTTAGATTTGATTATAATTTTACACTATAATTTTATTACTATATTTTGAATTTAACTGCGGTCCGCAAAAAACAAGCTCACAATCCGGATGCGGACCGTGGTCCGCCATTTGGTGACCCCTGGTATCTACCATCTACTGTGGGTTGCCAAATTGTGAATAGTACAAAAATTTATGTATTTTCTGATTTTTGACAATAGTTTGTTTTTTACTTTTTTTTTATCTGCAAGAGTGTGTTATTATTATTATACAAACAAGTTTTGTAGGCATAGGTATTTAATCCTACCATGAAATTGAACATAATTAATTCAGTAACAAATAAAATTTAAAAAAAACAATTTTTACAGTGATCTAAAATCAGGATGTCATGATATCCCAGCAATGTTACCACATTTGAAAAAGTGACTAATACAAAAAGAAATATAAAATAAAATATAAAAAATATGAAGACCTATTCTTTTACTCTAAAAAAAACAATTTAAACTAGAAAGTATGGAAATCTATGAAGTGTCCCTCATAATTTGACCACCTACTGCACATAAAACAGTGATTGGCTTGGTCAATTAACACTTTTGTGTAACAAAACTGTACTTTTGTATATAGAAATTTTTACATTTATTATCTTTATTCTAGCAATTGTCTGTATTTGACATTTGAATATATTTTTAATATAATATAATTTTTTTTAATATAATTTAATAATATTTTATATATTTTAAACTATTTGCAGGTGTCTGAGGAAGACAGAATCAAGACAGTAGACACTCAAAAATATCCGGCTGAATTAGGCATAACCTTAGAATTCTGTGCAGGGTTAGAAGACAAGAGCCTTCCTTCTGAAGAAATAGCCAAAGAAGAAATTTTCGAAGAATGTGGTTATGAAGTTAGTATAGATCAACTTGAAAAAATTGGTGTCATTAGAAACTTATCTGTGACAACAGGAGCAAATTTAACGTTTTATTATTGTGAAGTTACTGATGATATGAGACGAGGACAAGGAGGAGGTGTTGAAGGGGAGAATGTAGAAGTTATTGAAATGCCTGTTGAGGATGTCATCAAATATGCCAATAATCCTGATTATGTGAATTCTCCTATTAACTTTATGTATGGATTGTACTGGTTTTTGTATAATAAGTATAGTAAGAAAAGTGAATGCTGATGCAGTAAACGTTTAAAGTATTTATTATCTAAATATTTCCTTTCTTACCTTTTTGGTCTAGATTTTTGTATATAAGTAAAATGAAAGTTTCCCAAAAATAATTATTATATTCACTTTTTTACTTTCAAATCTGAAGAAGAAACTGTAGATTTTAAGTAGCTAAGTGGTAAAAGTGATTTTTAATCACTTTAAATGTAAATATGTATTATTCAAATATTTTATGTTTTTTATTAAGACAATGTATTAAGAATTCTTAATATTGTTAATAGATAGCAAATTTTTAATATTACTTAAAATGTTACTTATTAGAACTGAATAATTACAAAATAAATTAATATCTTATATCTTTCTATTACTACTGCTTGAAATTATTCCCCACAACAACAACATAGAACATACAAAGAAACTTATGAGAATAAATAATAATTTGGAGTCATAGACTAAAGAGTAAAATAGACTGTCAGAATTAAATAGATAATGAAACTCTGTGAATGACCAATTTCTCTAGAGTAAGACATGAAGCACAAATAACCCCGAAAAAATAATTTATAAAATTTATTGTGTTGTATTTGTGATATGCAAAATAGACAAAAAAAGGTAAGTACAGTTTAGTTACTATAGCAACTGTCTATCTCCCAATGTATCATCCTTATAATATTTAAGTATTGCATTTGGAATTATTAGTGAATTGGAAATAATCATAGCTTCCTGCAGTTTTGTTTACTCATGTATATATTTTGCATTCTGTCATATTTGAATCCTAACAAAACAATATTTTATTAATTTTAATATTTTTACATACTTGAAAACATTTTATGATAATGAAACTTTATTACTGAGTGGTAGAGGAAACACTTTAAATTTTATTTTAAACATCCACTTTGGCGACTATCCATACACGCACAGGGAAAGATGGAAACTAGAAGCAAACAAGAATCTGCAATTTTTGAACAATTGTTTAAAATTATGAACAAGAAGAGAATAAATTATTGGCAAATAGCCAATAATCTACAGAAACAGGTAAGTCAAAGGCAAGCGATGCAAGAAGGAAATAAACAACAAAATAAACAGATGGTAAATAATTTAAAACGATGAATTGCTAAAGATGAAACAACAAGAACAAAATGAATATCACGAAAATTTTCCTGAGGACAGGAAAAAAAGAACAATGTTACAATTGAAAGAAACGAAGAAGAAAATCAGAATAGAGAACAGCGTTCACCAAATAAAATTAAAAAACAAGCCGGAAATACAATAGCTGGAAACGAGGTAAAAAGCCATAAATCTTTAATGTAGGGAAAGTGTGCCTATGTTCGAGCCCTGCCTATGACCATAGTATAAAAAAGAAGCTGCTCTTATTATGTTAAATGAAACCAACTGTGTCGCAAATTCCTCCTTAGAATGTAGTAGGATGTGGCTACCAATATTAAAAGGAGAAGTCACTAAATGAACGAACATACGAAAATGAACTCACTCTTCTTTATTGAAATTAGGCACAAAACCTTTTAAAATCGTAAGAACGCAGAGAGTGATCTATTCATTAACCACCCTGTATCCTAAAATAAGTTAATTAAAACTATAACATGCAATATATCAAAGTTCTGGGAATTTTGTGCAGAATCCAAAAATTTTATAATATAACCAATGTTTCATTTAAAATGAGAAAGTTGGTATCATAGTAATTGATATATAACAGCAGTCAACATCCTGTATATAAAATAACAAATTTTTATTGGAAAAAATGCGCAAAAAGTATTTTTTAAAATACTTTTTAAAACTATTTTAAAAAACCTTTAATTTTGATTTGCTATTAATTTTAAAGTTATTCTTATAATTTAAACGTTATTAAATTTATCAAACAGTTTAAATAGATGGATTAAAGTAATTATATTATTAATTTATAAAAAAATGTTCGCAACCAAAAATACACATAAACCTCATTGACACATTCAGAAATTGATACAAATGAACTGCGCAAGTCTGCACAGAATAGTGGGTCAGGCAAATTTGCTGCCTTGTCCATCATCGAAAAAAGAAAATAAATTGGACATACCAGTTTTGCCAATTAATGATTAATTTATTTTACATAGATGGTAATATGCAGTAAGCTTTAAAAAGCGTACAAGAAAAAACTGTGGTGTTTAAGCTGACAGCAAAAACATTTAACGATCCAAGAACGATTTTGAAAAGGCGAAAATACCCATCGAGCAAAAAGACAAACCACAGAATAATAAACAGTCAGAATGTCCACTCTCAGATGCCGCCTTTGAAGTTTTTCAGCACGAGCGCCATGTTTTAGAAGGAAACACATAACACAGACCAAAAAGACAAAAGAGGGAATGTAAAGGTAGTGGGGACAAAAATATTGTTAGACAGGAAGTGCTATCTTGAGAGGCCACTTTAAACAATGAAAGACAGTCTCTTTCCTTGTTTAAGAAATCAAATTTAGTTTGGTTCTGTTATTGTTTGTCGCAACTGTCACATGAAATTTTATTTATATTGAAGTTTCTTACCAATTGTGTCACTTTTTAGAGTATTAGCGTTAATATTTAATTAAAACTTTCTCGCCTGAAAAATATTTTATAGCTATTGTTAATAAGTGTCGGAAAATTTAAATTTAGCGCCTTTGCATTTCCGGATATGTCCGACATCAGAGGCCACTTTTTTGGTCTCCTTTTCATAACGATTAGATTACCTCTTTTGTCTTTTTGCTCGATGACACAGACATATAATTTGTGAGGTTATGTAATTGTTTATATTTATGTTTAATTATATTATATTTATGTTATTATATTTAACAATGTTAATATAATTGTACAGTATGTCTAAGATTGCCGTAAGTAAATTAAACCGGGTTAATTTTTCTATGCACACCACATAAACAACACTGGTTCCCTTTAAAACATGGCGGAACGTCTGCGCGAACGAGATGTGCGTACTTAATTTTCCATGGAGAGTGGGCATTCTGATTGTTTATTATTCTGTGCCAATACTCTCTACTACTATTGCACAGGAAGTGGCCGATCATATCACTACGGAAACTCGTTTTTTGGCCTGACCAGTAAATATTTGCGGACACTTGTATACGAAGTAACTGAAAGAAATAATATTAGCCACAATTTAAATAAGGAAACCAGGATGGCAAGCTGGAAATATGTCAGAGGGTCAGGTCAGCGAAATCATCGATTATCATTACGCACTCCAGAAAATACTTCGTTGGCAATGGCTCAAGCTTTTAATAAACCAAATATATATGTACCTATTTTTACTGCATTAGCAAATATGAGACGAGTTTCACTTTCTACCAGAAAACATTTAAAATCTGTAAAACATTTAATGAAGGGAAGTGTGCCTATGACGGACTTCCGGCTGTAACTTCTTCCGTGCTTGCTGATGTGCCTGCCTTGAAATCCCATTGGCTTCAATCTGAACTTTTTTGTATTCTATTACAAAAATAAAAATAAACTAAGCAAAATAGTAATTCACAAGATTTATTGTTAAATACATAAAACAAATACTATGTCTTATATACCTATTCTTTGTTGTTTTTATATAATATTCTACTACTACATACATGTGTGGAAGGTTCACAATTTTAGTAAAACTTGAAGGTTGATTAGAAACATGAATCTTCCAAACCTCTATTTTGTGACAAACTTTAAATAATTTGGTTGATTTTATTATCCTACTAATACAATTTTGGTTCATCTCTTCCTCAACTTTCGTCCCTGTTAACATAATTATTTCACAATGTCACCACATCCTCATTAATTAAAATGAACAAAACCTTTAACAGCGACATATGATCAGGTACATACAGTTTACAAAAAATCTTTCAACATACTTTACACTCTTGAATCTTTTATGTTTTCTCTAAGATTTTCTAATGAGTCTTTTATTCCACCAATACGAATGTTTTCCAAAGAATCTTTTATACCAACACTTTTAACGTTCTCTAAAGAGTCTCTAATTCCACCATTGCTGATTTTTTCACTACTAACATTTCCCGCACTCTCTTCTTGTGATGAAGGGTTATTTCCACTGTTAGCATCCTCAATGGCCTTTCTAAGTTCATTTAACCCAACAACTCCAACCAGTTTACCGATGGCCGTCACGTAAGCGTGATTAACGCCAACTAAAGAAAACAATGAGTGCACCTTGAGAAGCGAAGTTCTTTCTACCAATTGGAATGGCGCTGGATCTACTTGGCATAAACCGAAGTCTACTGGTAATTGCATCTGTTCTTCTTCCCATTTGATTTGTTCTTCTGGGCTCATGTCACAGACTCTTTCGATTGGCTAAAACAAAGAACATGTTATATGTTTTGTACAACGTGGCTTCACTTATATTTAAGAACGAAATTCTTCGATGTACAAATATAATAAAATTAAGCAATGCAATGCTTCTTAGAAGCATTAATAATAACTAGGAAGGAAAGCAAAATGAAAAAAAAAAAATGGGGAGAGGAAGGTAGTACACAGTGAGGACAGTGAGGCAACAATTAATTCAAAAGATTTCTTCCTATTGCTTCGTCAATATACAGTAGGGCTATTGCATCACAGATGTCGCTACTACGAGTATAGGTATTTTTGCAATATAGCGTATATTGTAAATGTGTTTAACTAAAATGTGTTTTCGATTACATTTAAACCAATATTCAGAGGAATATTTTGCTGAAACTATAAACAGTTATTGAGTGATCTCAGCTGAACATTGGCGCATCAGGTGATGTGATCAAGGTACGTTGTTGTTTATAACATATTACGTTTTGTACTTTTTTAGAATGGCAAATTTCAAAATAACGTCCAACAGCATACAGTGAGACAAGCATTACTGGTACACAGTGAGACAGTCTCACTGCAGTAGTGAGTGTCATTTTAAAAATAGTATATATAGGTACATATTAAATTTTTCTAAATTTCAATATTTACTTAACTTAAAATCAAGATAATTAAATTTAATTAAAATATTTTTTAGTAACTTGCCATGTAAGATATAAGATGGTCAAAGAATATAATTTGATCCTTAATCTCTGATTCTTGATTATTAAATTAGATTAGATTATGTGAGGTAGTTAAGGCCACGCAGCCTCACCGCACTTCGACCTATCTTTTGTGTATACCTTAATCTAGTTAAACTCTAGGATGACAATACTTCTGACGAAGTTGAGTTCTAGGTGACTTGTTTCCTGTGTCAGAGGGTGGTGAACTAACCTCTCCTAGGAATTTTAGTTGTTTGCAGAACAGTGCTACTCAGTTGCATAGTATATGTTTTGACGTTTCTTTTGCTTTGTCACAGAAACGGCAGTTCTTACTATTTGATTTGCCCATTTTTTGACATGATATCTCAAAGAGCAGTGACCATTTTGATATCTTTTATACTCATTTTACTCTCACTTTTATTAACCTTTTTGCTTACCTTTGTCCTGGTCTGTAAACCGATGTAATCTTAGTTGATTAGGTTTCTTGATTCGGAGTTCCTCTCTGATAGGGCTTTTCGATAGTCACAGAAGGGTTCTGGGCCCTGGAATGGGATACTAGCCTCTTCTTTTGCGAGGCTGTCAGATTCCTTATTTCCTGCAATTCCCTTGTGACCTGGCACCCACATTAAAGTTACTTTATTGCATTTTACCAGCTTCTTGATTCGCATTACCCAAACCAACTTTGATTCGCAAGTAACTGACTTTACAGCCTTTAAGGCGGCTTGACTGTCTGATAAAATAAAGACTTTTTCTCTTAAGTGTTTTAATTTAGACATTCTAGGGCGCATGTCTATAGCATGTATTTATGCTTAAAAGATAACTGCCACTCCTGTCCTCTCATCTATCTTAGATCCATCCATATACCATACGAGAGAACCTTTTTCCAGTTTCAGTTCAACTTCTTCACCCATTTGGTGTTTTTTTATGCCCACTTCAACAGGTGTTTATAAGTCAAATTTGACTGACATGGCATCTGTCAGCTGTCCTTAAAATCCAATGGAAGATTTTTCGGTGGCCAACTAGATCTCCAGATATCAATATTTGTGTCTGTCGTAGTTTTAGGGAGGTTACTGCCTCGCTCCTTAGGCAGACCTGCAAGGGAGGAAGGTTCAACATCGCCTCTAGAGCTTCAGTGGGGCAGTGATTCAAACTACAAAATGTGATTCACAGAGAAGCTAGTCGCTGCACTTTTTGCAGCTTGGCGTTAGTTGTTGTTTGTTGTGTTCTTTGGCATTTGATTTTTGGAAAAATTTTTTTTAATAAAAAGTTTTGAAAATAAGAGGAACAAAAAAGTATTTAAAATTTCAGACTTATTTCTACAACCTATTTTCATGCAATTACATAAATAAAATACTTACCAACTGAACTTTTTTGGACGCAGCTGGACTTGGAGGAACTGTTTGTACATCTCCATTTGTATCATTGTCTACATCTTGAAGTTGGGTCGATTTCCTACAATAAAATAGGAATATATATATATATATATATATATATATATATATATATACATTTATATAAAACAGGTTAGAACATATTATTACATTGCTGTTAACTGTTAAGGTTGTTGTTGCACAGAAATAAGTGACTACTAGATATTACATGGCGCAGTCCGTTTTATTTAGGCTTTTACACGCCTACCTGGTAGGGATCTATGAAGGAGTATTACCAAGCTGTAAGTCCTTATCTCTTGCTGTACTGCTCCTCCGTAGGTTGAACAGACACCAGTGAATTTGAATCTAATAAGTAGCGGATTCATTTAAAATGTTAAACTACTATCACCGTAGCCTTTTTGTTTTTCTGTACCGGGCTAAGGATTGATCCAATGCCACTAAACAATTTTCGTTGTTATTGTTATTAGTGTAAGCAAAATTTTCTCTTTTATTAAGTAATCGTGGAAAAAATGTTATAGTAAAATATGTGTATGAATTTCATAAAATTATTTAGTAAATTAATTATGTTTTAAATCTAATTTACCTGAAAATGGCCTCGAATGCAGATCTTATTCGGCTTTCAGCCCCCGTGACGGTAGTATAGGGAGTACTACCAGGACTAGTCGAGACAAAAGGTGTAAATCCTTTCAAAGTAAAGGAATTGGTTTTCTTTAAAATAGATTTCTTCGGTTGAGAACCGAATACAGGATTGTACGTCGGTTGATCCAATTGGCTTTCAGATGTTTGTTTGTGAAGGAGGTCAGGAGCAGGAACTACTTGAAATCTGGAAGGCCTGCGCCTATTCCTCTCGTCAGTCAGTTTCTGGGTCTCTTCGATGGCTTTTTCTTTGGCTTCTCTTTGTCTAATAGCTGCTATCTATAACACATTTATTATCATTGTGTCAATGAGTTCTCTGTAATAAGTAATATTTATTTTATTATGCAGTATATTCGAATTGTCAAATATCTGTCAAAGTTAAACTTGATAATTTAAAGTTCTCCTAATAGTTTTTAATAAATTTGTGTATATTAAATAGTATTTAATGGTTAAATTATAATTAATTAGTATTCTAGTACGGTCTTTCAAGAGGTACAGTTGAATTCGTATATCGAACAAGCTTAATTCAGGTCTGTTTTGCCTTGCAATTCTTAGAAGGCACAGATTAAAGCAAACATCTGAATTTGGTTTCGAAAATTAGTTTACGGATCTTAATTAAGGTACATATTTAGAAAAACCATTTGGCGATCAGATAGAGGATAAAGTAACGTAGGGGAAGTGTGCTTATGTTGGACCTTTGCCTATGATGGACCCCCTGCTGTAATTTCATATATGGCGCGGTTACATGCACATCACCGTTTGCCGCTTGCGCACGAAGTTTGTAGTTTAGTATTTGCAAGTGTAGTTAAGTTTCAGACCCGTGGCGGTTATAACAGTAAATTCGTGAAAAAAAAATTAAAACTTGGCGTTGCTGATTTAATAATATTTTACTGGTAACATACGTTAAGCTAAGTGTTGCTTTTGTTTTGTTTAAAATGGCTACACTTTCTTTGTCAAACACTATACTATGTTTTAGGTTAGAACGGTCAAAACAAAAGTAACAGAATTAAATTTACTGTCTTCTATTCGCCTATGATGGACCCCTTTGTCGTTACCTATGACGGACTAGGGGTCCGTCATATGAAAAAGGAAATAAGTTGCTACTTAACGATTAACATAATACATTTTACAGGGATCTATCCTCATAAAAGGCAACAGTGGTATGATAGTAATATGCAGCAACCATTAAAAATCATATAAGAAAAAACTAGGGTGTTTAAGCTGGCAGCAAAAATATTTAACGTTCCTAAAACGACTTTGAAAAGGCGCTTTAATAAGCAACAAGAACGAACCAAACGTGATTTGGGATGACGAAGAACAATATTTTCCACTGCTATTGAAAAGGAAATTGCTGACCATATTATCATCATGGAAGCTCGTTTTTTTGGCCTAACCAGTAAAGATTTACGGAAACTTACTTGTATACGAAATAGCTGAAAGAAACAATATTAGCCACAATTTATGTGCCTATTTTACAGCATTAGCATATATATATATATATATATATATATATATATATATATATATATATATATATATATATATATATATATATATATATATATATATTAGACGAGTTTCAATTTCCACCGAAAAACTTTTATGACATGGACGAGTCCGGTTTGACAACTGTGCAAAAGGGATCGCAGAAGATTTATGCTAGTAAAGGTCGCAAACAAGTTGGTGCTTTAGTAGGTAGTGCAGAGCGCGGTCTACATGTTACGGTCGTAGTGCAATGAATGCAATTGGAACATATGCTCCTCCTGCTTTGATTTTTCCTCGACAGAGAAAGAAAGACGAACTTATGATCGATGCACCTACTGGAAATGTAGCCTTCGCTCAAGAAAAAGGATGGATGACTTCCGACATTTTCTGTCCCTGGCTGCAACATTTTTTAAGGTTTTCAAAGACTTCTAAAACCAACCAAGTTTTGTTGTTACTCGATATCATGGTAGTCATAAACGTTTTGAAGCTCTTCAGTTTGCAAAAGAAAACGTTATTATTATGTTTTGTTTTCCTGCTCACTGCCCTCATCACGTTCAACCCTTGGACGTAGTGTTTTTTAATCCACTTCAAATTTACTACGGCCAAGAAATTCAATTATGTCTGCGACAGAATCCAGGTAAAACAGTTACCCAATTTAAAGTAGCCAGTATCTTTAATGGAGCCTATTTAAAAAGTGCTGTTCCATCAAATGCAATAAATGCATTTAAAAAGACAGGAATAGAACCGATCAATCCAGATATCTTCGAGGATTGGCAATTTTTGCCGTCTATAACAACAGATAGAGAAAATTATGAACAAAACCCACTACCAGGATGTTCTGATTGGAACTCACTACCGGAACATTGAAACCAAAATGTTTCTTTGATTGAAGGTTTATCAAAAATCACTGATCAGAAATAAACATCATCGTCAGTCCTAAATATCTCAGTCGAAGATATTTGTCCTCCTCCTTTAGCTGGAGTATCTTAAGTAACTCAGAAAAGGGGTAGAAAACGGGGTAAAACAGGATATTTAAATCCCACGCCAGAAATTGATGTTCCAGAAACCAGTTCTGAAGACGATTGTGAATCTTCTTTTGAAGAAGACGACTCGGACCATGAAGCTTGCATTTACTGTAACGAACTATTTTCGCATTCACGATCCACAGAAAAATGGATTCGTTGTCAAGTATGTAAGACTTAGTGTCACAATAAACGTACAGATGTAATTCCTGGATGTAAACAATTTGTGTGTGAATTGTGCATGTAACTTTTTTCTTAAAAATACCTATTTGTTATATTATTTATCGTTTAGAATATCTTTTGGTTTAATAAAATAATTTTACTTATTTTATACAAAATGCAACGGGTCCATCATGGTCGTATCAAAGGGTCCATCATGAGCGCATATATGCCCATGATGGACCCTTAAGAGGATTTTAGTAAACTATGAATAACTTTTGTCATCTTAATTTTTATCAAAATTTGAAACATTTGCATATTATATAAATACAAGACGTTGTGGTCATATTTACACCCTGCTAAGTAAATAATTAAAATTATTATGGAGCCTTTTCCTTAAGTGTTCTATCATAGGCACATTTCCCCTACATCAGAACAGTGCAGGAATTATGGTTACATACGAAACTATTAACAAAAGGCCACGTTTAGGTAGACACAGATTATTTACAAAAATCAATTAATAATTAAACAGGTGCAACCACAAATATTTATCTTTCATAAGGCCGATCAATTTTAATTCTTCATCGGATGCTGGTCCATATTACGTCTTTGTACATAATGCTGTGGGTAATATTGAGAAACCTCATAGATTTGGAACTGTAAGTTTAAATATGGATGTTGTAGGTATAAATAAAATCAGAATCGAACTAAATTCTTACAGTAGCGCTAATTTACTAAACAAAATTAAAAAAATTTAAAGAAAAATGATACGACGTTTTACGTACCCGCATTCTATACCCAAAAAGGAGTTATTAAACAAGTTGATATTAAATTATCAGAATTGAAATTAAGTCAGATAATAAAACCTAAATTATGATATACTTTTGAAATTATAATTGTTAGACGAATGAAAAGGAAAAAACGGGGAAGAAGAAATCTTTACATCGACAGTTATTGTTATATTTAAAGGACAAATAATAATCCCTTCTAAAGTAAGTGTACAAAAACTTATTTATGATATAGAAATAAATGTCTGAGATATGATCATATAAGCGACCAATGCAGAGGAAAAATTTGTTGCCCATATTGTGGAGCGGAACACGAAGCCAATAAAATGCCAGTAAATAATGGAAAAACTGCGGTGAATTTTTAAAGCAAAAAGAAAATGATGGTAACTGAAAACATTTCATACACAAAAGTTGAAGAAAAACACGAATACGAAAAACAAATAAACGAGATAGTCCATACTATACAGAAGTCATAAAAAAACGGCGTATTGAAAATAATAACAGATCAGGATTTCGGTAATTGTTAACGTGTAATACAATCTCTTTAGATCCAATGTCAACAAATACTAAGAATCGATTCCCAAAATTGTTTGGGAAAAAATGTTCAAAAACTAACGTAAACCGCAGAAAAAAATTAGTAAATCAAATTGTAGTAACACAAAGTATTTCATAAATCATTAATATTGTCATAACTAAAAATAATACTTCATTTAGAACATTTTGCTTAGAGCAATACAGTTTTAAGTCAAAATTCTTAAATAACTTCACTGTCAGTATTTTTATTTAACTAAGAGTACAAAGAAATGTCGTTTAATATTAATTAGAGACACATTAGGCATTCATTTTTTTACCTGCAGTACGAAATGATTAAGTTTTCGTTAAGTCTGAAAAATCACCTTTTTTGAGTTACGACACTATTGTATTATTAATCCGATATTTAATTCCGTAATTACTACATATTCCCATAGGATATAATAAAACCAAATATTTAGGATTATTTCAAAGAATAAAATCTATATCACTTCATACCTGTAATCGCCGCTCCTTTCCGATATGTTTTTCGATAATTTGTATCAGAGGCATTCGCTGTATTGATCCTAGGAGAACCATATTTTCAGGATTGTCAACTAAAGGAAAACTCTTTCGCTGTCTGTTCTCCTTTAATACTACCTTTAGTTGTTGGTACGACATTCCATAAAATATGTATTTGACGTCACGAACCATAAAATTTTCAACGTATACATTATACATACCTAAAATAATAATGTGGGAAAAAATAAAAATCGCAAATCAGCAATGATTTGGTTGTTGGTAATAAAATATTTTGAAGTATAATCTATTCAACATAATAAAAAGACGAATATAGAGGTTTGATTGATTCATTAATTTCTAAAAAGCGTTTCCCCAAATTGGTCGTTTGCTCAAATTGGTAAACATGTATAGAATGCTTGCTACAAACCAGGACAAACTACATATTCTGCTTTGAGCAAAGTATGGGGCACTTGGGCGAGAAAGTGTGACGTCACTATCGGTAAGCATTAAATTTTCATTACCAGCCGAGCATGAACCTTAGCTGAACATGAATCTGGATATACAGTGCACTCCGTATGTTTTTATAAACATAATCAAGACAAACTCTTGCCTGATGGCTATCGAAGATAGTTGGTCTATGACCAACATATATTCTTACCAAAGACGGGAAGTACAATAACAACTTATAATAAAAAATAAATTACTTATTCGTCGTAGATAAAATATAGTATGCAATTCGTTACGGTTAATTTTTAGCATTGATACGTTACAGGTTTAATATACGTCGAAAAGAACTATGTAAATGAAATCGGATACACAGTGCACTTCATATGATTTTATAAATATGATCAAGGGAAATGATTGCCTGATGGCTATCGAAGAACCATCTATAACCAACATTTATATTCTTACCGGAGACTGGAAGTATAATAACAACTTTAATATAATATAAATAAATTACTTGTTCGTCGTAGATAAAATACAGTATGCAGCTCATTATGGTTTGCACACGTGTGACAGTCTCAAATCGTTAAACATCAAAATATGTCTGTCATGCGTGTGTCATATGCCATGCGTTGGTGTAGCTTTGTTATGACATTAGCTACGGAAAAGAAGAAGAATTGACAGTTGACGGACGAAGAATTGACGAACCGAAAAGAAGAAGAATTGAAAGTTAACAAATGGTACCGGTCTTGGCTAAGGTTCATGCTCGGCCGGTAATGCAGATTAAACGCTTACTGACAGTGACGTCACGCTGTCTCGCCCAAGTGTCACATACTCTGCTGCTGCTTTGGCATACTACTATTTTATCGAGGGTATATTCATCACTAAAGAAGAGTTACAACATACATTATTAATACAGAAATATGGCAAAAGTGTAGCGCCCAATGAAGTGTATTCCGAAACACTAAAACGCATAGTGCGTGAAGACGGTTTAGGGTTAAGCGTTTTGATAGATCAGATACGTTCAACACCATCTACAGAACTAAGAAAATATTATTAAACTAGATGAAGTCAACTTTTAGCAGCTTATCAAAAAAGCTAACGCGTCTACATATGACTATTTCATTCATCTTAAAATTTTCACATAATCTGACCAATCACAAACCAAAGGCAGCTTGTGTTATCGCGAAAACACCAACTGTCTTTCAATTCTGATTGGTCTATCAGCTTCGTGTTTTCAACGACGTAACCATGGATACCGATCGCAAAGCAAAGTTTGACGTTTGCCAAAAAAATTATTGTAGGTGTATAATTATTTAAGTATAGTTATAATAAATATTTCATAATTATGACTAATTCTGAATTATTCAAAAAATGGGTAGAATTGGGTTACCTAGATCAATTGTATTATTATTAAATTCCTTCCTCTCATTCTACTGAATTTTTGACCTATCACTTTGTTCATGAAATAGTCTAATACAATATCACTCGTGATTTAATTTAGCTTATAAGTCTGTCTTTTATTTTTAAACTCAATTGAGTTTTTTAAAGAAAACACCACGAGTCCGTAGGACGAGTGGTGTTTTCAAGCAACTCAGTTTCGTTTAGAAGTAAATCGACAGACTTATCGCGAAAATTGAATCACTAGTGATATTACTATTGATTATAACCGTATCATAATCTTAATGTCTCAAGAATTAAAAACATTTGAAATATACGTACAGCTATGTTTGGGAGTCAAACATAGCTGCATATACAAGAAATGCGAACATCAAGTCGAAGGCACTCAAGTATTCGGCTTCAGAAACGTATTACGACCTATTAAGACCTAGAGAGGTTATATTTTCACTAATGTACTTATACAAGAACTGCTTCATCGACTATCGCAAAGCTTCTGATTACCAAAACTATAAGACATACTGATAGCAACTGTTGTAGAAGAATGTGACTTACGAACCATTACGGAACTGTACTGGTATCAGATAGCGTAAGTAAGGGTAGAAATGTATCTTTATAGGAGAACACTACGCATTTACTAGACCGAAAGAGTAACAAAGAGCTGATGCCAACGAATGAAGAACGTAAAGTAATGTATATCGAAAACCTAATGGGAGGGGAGAATTATATGAATTACTTCGGTTGATCATCGAAGGAAAAATTTAGGACAAATGGCTCGAAAACACGTCTTTGGAAATCTTTAGAGCAACTATTATACGTTTAGCCATAGTCAATCGGATCGCCAACTTTCGAAGTAAAACGGCGCAATAAGAAGAAGGCGAAGAACATATTCTTCTTCTTCATCAGTGCCTTATCCGGTTCGTATGGTTTTGTTGACTGCTCTGCGAAACAGCACCGCGGAGGTCATCCCAAACCATTGTCGGAGGTTTTTTAACCACGAGATAACACGGCGTCCCGGTCCTCTCCTGCCAAATACTTTACCCTGCATAACGAGTTGAAGAATTCGATATTTGTCTTCGTTTCGCATCACGTGGTCGAAGTACTCAAGCTTACGTTGTTTCACTAAATTAAGAACTTCTTTTTCTTTTGTCATGCGCTGTAAGACCTCAACGTTGGTGACGATCCACACACGATATTTTTAGTAATTTCCTGTAGATCCACATCTCGAAGCCCTCAATCCGCTTTTTAGTGGCTTGGGTCAGTGTCCAGGCTTCAACTCCATATAGTAATACTGTAAGAATGTAGCACCTCACTAACTGCATCTTGGTTTCCAAACTTAGATCACTGCAGCACAGCAAGGATCTCAACTTGATAAATGTAGATCGTGACATTTCAATTCTGGATCCAATCTTGTAAGTTGAGGGTAGTTCCATGTAAGTGAATCTGTCAACTCTCTGGATCTCTTCGCTACCAGCCATTAGTGGCCGGGGATCTAAATTTGCAACCAGGCTGTTTGCTAGTAGCACAATGTAATCGTCGTAGCGGATATTATTCATGCGTTCACCTTTGACTCGGATTCTCATCTCTAGGTTTGTGAAGGCTTCAGTAAAAATTTCCTCAGAGCATATATTGAAAAGAGTCGGAGAGAGCCTTACTCCTCGCATGATTTCCTCGTACTTGGAGCTCTTCGATTAGTCTACATTTTTCTTGTATCCATGTCTCCTTAGCTCTTCGTATTTCTTTTTTAATTGTTTAGTTGATTTCTTAGTATTCCTTCATGTCCCTGTTTTTAATTTTTCTTATTTGGTCCATCTTCTGCAGAATGTCATCAGTTATCCATTCTTTATTTTTTACTCTTCTTATACGTATATACTCTTTTTTTACTCTTATTATATCTCTTACCTTCAACTTCGGGGTCTTTTAGAGTGTCATAATCCAGGTTCTGTTTAGGTTTACTTTTGATGAGTTTCTTTAGTTTAAGTTCTATCTGGCACACTAATGAGTTGTGGTTCGATGAGACAACTGCTCCTGGGAAGGTCTTCGCCGAAGTCAAGCTGTTCTTGAATCTTTTGTTAATGAGAATAAAGTCTAAATCAGGTGTTAGCAATGGTAAAATCTTCTTCTCGACTGAATAAGTCGGTCTCCCCTTTCGTTTTTCTCGCCTAAGCCGTGTTGCCCTACGATGTCTTCTATTCTGCTTTTGCCAACTTTGGCATTGAAATCACCCATGATGACGGTAAGCTCGTTCTTGTTGGTATATTTTAGTGCTTTTTTAGAAGTGCGTAGAACTCCTCGATATCCTCTTCTAACTTTTTTGATGTTGGTGCGAAAATTTGACTGATGTTTGTATTAACGGGTCTGCTTTGCAGCTTAATCAGCTTGACTATATCAGAGAAAGGTAGCACGCTGATCACACCCCCAGCGACTTTTTTTGCTCAGAATCACCGCTACGCCATTTCAGTGATGTGATTTATCGTTTCCCGCATAATATACTATATACTCATCCACATAGCACTGCCTCGAGCCTGGCCATCTCATCTCGTTGATTCCCATCACGTCGATATTTAGTCTTTTCATTTATTGAATGGTGTTGTGTATTTTTTGAACGTTCCACGTGCACACATTTTCTCTATTAGTGTTTAAATATTGGTAAGGATTTCGTGGGTTGACGACCTGAGAAGCCTTACATTTTCGTGTTCTTCCTCCCCTGTCGGCAGTAGCCTCGTGGTATCCAAAGCTCGGGATTAGTACCTTCTCCAAATTGGTTTACATTAACCATGATGAATGAACTAGGGACTATTTATGGGGTGGTTTCCCGTTGCCTTCCCCGAAGAGTATATTCGAAAATGTTAAAATCTACAATACGATAGATAAAAAATAAAACGTATTTGGGAACAGCAGAATTATAACTCATACACCGACAGAAAATCTATTCGACATAATTAATTGTTTCAACAGGATAGCGACACGAACATCCTAGAGAATTGCTTCGTAAACATTTGGATAATATTTTTTAAAAAGAATAAAAATATAATTCGATACTAATGTTATGATTATGGAATACAAACGCAAAAGTATGTATTGGAGGGAAATCCAGAGGAAAAAGATTACAATACTAATGAAAGGAAAACAAAAAACTAAATCTAACTACAAAATAAACTATTAATAAATTATATATTGTGCAAGCTTACCACTGCTGCTGGGTAGAAGGTCGGGTAAGTAAGGAAGCTTTTTGATCAAAATAATACTGTCGTAAATACTAGGAAATAAAAGACTTGCTATGGCATTTGAGATAAGTACTGCAATCATTATAGGTATAATATGAGTGATCTGCCCGGTCATCTCAAACACTATAACCGATACTGAAATGGTATGTGTCACAGCACCGCTAAAAGCTGCAGCACCAACGGTGGCATAGCCTCCTGGAACTATTTCTGCAATTTTTCCTCCATATCGCATACCTACAATAATAAATGTTGTTAAATCTGAATATTGTTATTAATATTGTCAATGCGTATTAATTTTTTTCTATATATTACCTGTAGGAAACCACATGTGCATTAGTTCCCCAACTATTCTGCCTAGAGCTGCACCAATTTTAAACACAGGGATGAAACTACCACTGGGAACTGGTACTGTAGAGCAGATAATCGAAAAGAAAAACTAAAAGAAATAAAAAAAATAGTTAATGATTTTATGATGTTTCCATAATACGATATTTGTTTTCCCAGATAGTTCAATTTCTTGCGTTTAAGCCGCCTAATATTATGACTTTTTTATGTATAATAATTGTATTCATCTGATCTTGTAATGTACCTATTGTAGAAGGTGTAGTGTCTTCTTCGATCTTACTATATCTGGAGCATATACTGATGTATGTATTTTACTATGATCCATTTTAAGTGTAAATTTAAAAAACGATTTTTAAATTTCTCGTGGATGAGTATCCCACCTCCTCAGCTTGCATATTCTTCTTTTTCTTTTCCGCTGTATACCAATACGTAATTTTAATATTTTACAGTTACCTTACCTTCCCACTGTTAGAGCCTAATATTCAAATCCTAGTAACTTTTTTAGCATCGAGTTGACGCAAATTTTATTTAAAAAATTGATTTAGCACGCGTAACTAACATTTAAAATCGGCGGTCGCTTCAAGCGTTGTTTCTGAGAGAGCGGTTCATTTTACAGAAAAAGTGCTAATGAGCATATTTGTTCAAAAGCTAGATTTCTTGTTTGAAACATTTTTTCTACTGAGAATACTGAGGCGAGCGTCACGCAACTAGCGCTATAAGATGACGTCATCACGTCATGCCGCGCATAGCGTCACAAAATAGCGGTTCTTCACATCGATTCACTATTCTCGATCAATTCGTTTCTAGTCATCGTATATTTATTCTAAGCAGGTTTAAATTAAAAACGCAACAAAATACAGACATAAAATAAGAAGTAATAGATTAAAAGAATATAATTAGTATTAAAAGCTTCTCTTTAATAGTATACAGTTCTTATTTTAAATGTTATACTCACCGTAAACAGCACATAACAAGTTAAACTGACATAAACTCCGGTCCACGGAGTTCTCCAGTGTCCTATTACTTCGTCTTGATCCACAGTTACGTTGTGATTAGTCCACGTAAAGTTGCTGAATAGAGATGCTACTTGTCCATGTGTGTTTAAGTCTCCGGCCATGAATTGTCCAGTACCCAAAGGAAATGTAGCCGTTGACACTAATAACGACACGATAGCTGGATATAAAAACCGACTAAAAAATTTGATACGACATGAGTGATATATAATAAAAAATTTTAAAATTAAGAAGCTGTGAAATTTAATAATGCTTTTTAGGTCTACTTATGAAAAATATATATTCAATGATTCTGTGATATGACATTTATGATAGATAATATGTTGCTTTCAGGGCGTAAGCATCATAACATCCTTGGTGCATAAATAATTATTTAACCATTGTTTCTTAATTAATAATGAAGCTCGTATGACAGGGCGGGTGCTCATTTTTACAATGAGAATTTAAACCAGCAGACATTTGTGCCCCAGATCTTGTTTCTCTTTTTTATACTCGCCGCAGCTGGAGCGCCCGTCCTGTCACAAGGCCCAGATACTTATCGGGAAATGATAGAACAAGGTTTGAACTTGAATTTAGGTCCTTGATGAATTCAAGAATAATGTTTTTTCTTGTGTTTCTAGCTCTACCTCGAAAATGATCAAGTTTAGAGAAAAATTATAAGAGATTAATTATAATTTTGTTCAGAATGATCCAAAAGAATAAAAAAAATGTCTAGGCAGACAAAATTGATTTTTATAATTTGTAAAACAAACTTTTCGCCTGGGCGGCCTCTTAAATCTTATTTTAGAGTGTCTTATGAAAGTGATTATGTAAAAAAATCTCATGGGAATATTTTCCGAACGAACCCTAGCTTTTCGCCTTGTCTATATCGTGAAAATATTAAGCTTGCATACAAAATAGTTTTTTAAGTCAAACTTACCTTCTCTTTAAAAAATTATTAATAATTTTACTATTCCTCATAAATAAAACATACTGACGATGCATCCATACATAAAATGCTCCTCCTAAACCGCATATTGCACTGTAAGGAAAGAAATCCATATTTAAAAAATTAATAAAATATCTTGGGGTTAAGTTTAAGTGCGAAGGGTAAGTACGTATGTAGAATCTGTTTTTTTTTATTACTGAAAGCCCTTTTATGTTCTGCTATACGTTTCTTAAAAGTTCTACCAGAATGACCGATGTAAGTTTTTGCAAGTCATTGCAAAATTCATTTGTAAGTCATCACAAGTGCAAGTCATTGCAAAATCTATTACCGATGCGTATAGTGAAACTAAAAAGTCCTGGTACAAAAAGAATCGAGCAGCCTTTTCAATTAAAAATAAATCAATAAAAAACAACATTGTGTTTACAAAAGCAGACAAAGGTAACTCTACTATTGCTATAGATAAAATAGAATATAATAAAAAAATGAATTTTTAAATTATCAAAATATTGAAACGGGAAACAAAGATCGGACGGGAAAGTGACAAAAACAAATTAAACTAGCGTTAGAAAATTAAAAATAATAGTAAATTCAATAGAACAAAAATACCTCAATATCATGAACCGACAGCCTCCTAAATTAGATATACGCTTTTATTAAACTACACAAACCTGGGCCCTGATTCTATTTCATTTCGATGTCGAAATTTAAAAGCGACTACGCCATGACAGTCGCAATCGCTAGCGATTCTCATTCATTTCGATTTTAGTTAAAAGTGGGGACATTTACTTTATCATTTTGACACTGCTCAGAATTTGGGTTGGCCGTCTTGTTTATTAGCTGCACGATTGTTAAATGTTTGTTTTGTTTACATTTTACGATTTTTGTTTCTTGTGAGTTGTTAAATTTTTAGTGGCCATTCTCAATGATTATATTTTGAATTTAAAGAAAATGGATGGATGCTGTTGGTGATGGTGGCACTAAATTGTCTGTGGACCAAAAAGAAATTATGATGGCTTTTGACTTAGTGGTTATATATTTGTAAATTTACTGCAGCTATTATTTTATATCTCCAAATAAGAGTATAGAATTAAAATAAATTATTACAACCAAATTATTTATTATTTCTATCTTCCATTACAGCCTGTTGAATATATTCAAAAATTGTGGTTTCCAATTTAGTTTTAATATTGGGACATTTTATTTCTTTAATTTTTACACCACAGTATATTTAAAAAAATAATCAGTAGCATCTGGCTTGGGGCCCCCAGGTACCGCAGTTCTATTTTTATAGGTGTTAAAATTTCGACCAATTATGTGCCGAATCACATACAATTTCTGATAAAACGCAGCCATATTAATACTTTTTGCCTCAGTTTTCCTTGCAACAATCAAACAAAACAACACCGCCTAAACTGAACCTAACCTCGCTTCTCCCAGTCCCGCTAGTAATGTCAGATTAATTTCGACTCGAAATTAAATTTCAACCACTTTCTTGAAGTTGAAATTAATTTCGATAAATCGAAATTTAGTGACGTCCTTTGGTTAGTTCAGCTGAAATCCACTAGGCTCGCAAAGTCGCATTTCGACGTCGCCATATTGATTTCAACATGTTTTCAGTCGAAATCTCAATTAGAATCAGGGCCTTGATCAAACAATAAGACCTGTAGTTTCTCAGTCTATACAGCTCCGTCATATAAACTTTTAAAAACACTGTTACAGATTATTTTAGAACAAATAAAAGTTTGACCTAAATTTACCGTAAAAAATATAATAGAACTAGTTAATAAAATACAACATTTTCAATTACCTAACAACTCCAGATTAATTTCATTTGACGTAAAAAATCTTTTTTCTAGTATTCCTTCTACTGTCTAATTTTGTTCTAATAAAAAACCTTTTAGACCATAATATTACAAATCCAATCATTAAATCTGAAATTTTATATCTTTTTGGAATTTGCATATACCAGGACTACTTTGAATTTAATAATAAAATATATACAAATAACACCAAATACCGGCAGGATAATGGGTAATCCTCTGAACCTACTGCTATCAGAAACATCCCGTATTCAAACAGTTTTTATATTTATGGAGATATTGAGTTGATGCACTGATATGTTTTAGAGGAACTAACAGACAAGTCGACAGATTTTTATCCTAAGGTACGTGTACCAAGTAAGGCCCACCTAACAATTATTACCTTTTAATTTATTATACTTAGGAGATACGAGGTCAGGAAAAATGTGTAACATGCTTCAGTTCTAGTAATATAAAAATAAAATACAAAAAAAATTATTTCGTAATTAGTATTATCATAATCAAATAAATTATTAACTTTTGAAGTAGGGCCTGATTAGGAACCCATCTTCCAAATAAGGCCCAAAGCTGGTCCCTAATATGGCCCACCCCAAAACTTTAATCTATGAAGCCTGTTAATGGCAATAAAACCAATGACAAGATTTACCAAATATTTAATAAACATTATAATAATTAACAAATGATATATTATCACTTCTCACAATTCGGCACTTTGTCTTTGGATGTCAACCCTACACATTCTTCATGTACATACTTTTTGCATTTTTTGCAAAGTCTCATGTCAGCTGTTCTGTCTTCACAGCATAAATGACAAAACCAGTTAACAGCTTCCGATGTTCCACTGCAGCTTGGAGCAGAACCGCCGTTTTCATTACTAAATTTCTCCAGATGTTTTTGTTTCACCGGAATTTTCTTTCCTTTCCCAACCGAAAACTCCTTAGAGGCATTATTTACTTTGGCACTTTGCTGCTTTTGTCTTTCAGCAAATAGTTCTTTAGTTACTACTTGCGCCTGATAGTTTAGTGCCTTTCGTCTAGGAGTCTGGAGTTTCTTTCTCAGCTCTGGAGTTTTCAAAATGTCTTGGAAGGAACAGTCGAGTTCATCATGGTTGTCGCTATCGTCATCATCGCCATTAAGACTGACATCACATGAACTATCCCTCACAGAAAATAGCTCACTTTCCGAAGAACTAGAACTGCTGGATTGGCGTCTCCTTTTTCGGAAACTCCTTTGTTCGGAAACTGTTGGAATATTTGATGTTTCAGCAGGTTCGGAACCCATTCGCATGTTTTCTTGATCAGGACGCTGTGAAGGATGGGAATGAGTGAATGCACAGTCAGGAATAGATTCTGGATCAAAAGGATAAATCCCAGTCGCTCGGAATCCAGACATGACATTAACTGGTGACGCAGATTTTGGCCATACCTTGCTAAAGATTTTTTCTAATACCCGCCTACTAATTGCTCTATTTTCTTCTCCTTTATTAGTCGACCAATGTAATTGGACTTCATCGTCCCAATAAGACTCAAATGGTTTAAATACTGACTTGTCCATAGGCTGAAGTTCATGAGTCGTTTTGCTAGGCAAGCAGTACAGTCTAATACTGTGACCTTCAGCTACGTCACAAATATTTGGATCCAAATGTGACGATGCTCCATCAAAAATTAGCAGAACTTCTTCTGCAGGTTTGTACATAGCAAAATGATGCAGCCACTTGATAAAGGTTGATGTAGTCATTGAGCCCTTGTCTGTCATTTCTACCGCTGTTCCAGGTGGCAAATAATCTTCCCATTCTGGCTTGCGTCGCTTTCCTTTGAAAATAATCATTGGAGGAATAACCCGCCCAATTGCATTTCCACACGATACAATGGATACATTTTCTCCATGTTCAGGAGCAACAAAGTGTAGCCGTTTCTCACCTTTCTTTGCTAAAACTTGAGGAGACTTGTGGAGAGACAGACGACAACCCTTTTCATCCATATTATAGATGAGTTGTGGTTTGTCAAATGCCTCTAGTTTGGTCATAATATTTTTTAATTTCTCGAAATGATCATTGACAATAAACTTATTCAATTTTGCAGCTCTTCCTGGATTCATATGCTGCGCCTTCCTTCTGGCAACCTCTGGGTTCCTCAGTAGGAATAACTTAAGCCATTTGCGCCCAGCCAAACCTTTTTCTTCATCAAAAGGATTCTGTAAATTATTTTTTTCGCAGAACTCGAAAACACTGCGTCGGAGAACTTTAGCTGTTAGTGGATACCCGACTTCAGCAAGCCGAAAAATTCTTTGAGTAAGTTCTCTTTCTTGAGTTTTCTCCAAGCAAGGTTTCCGTCCTAACTTCTTAATTGCTACACCGCTACTTACGTGGTTGCGTAACGTACGCCTGGGGATACTATAAGTTTTACATGCAGTTCTGACTGCCATCCCTTCATTAACAGCTTCCATCGCTTTTTTTAAATCATCCTCACTCCAGGTAGCACGTTTTGTCTTTGAATCCATCTTAAAATAAAAAAATTAAATAAATAAATACTTACACTCATACTTCTGAATTGTAGACTTATATTTTTATAGGTTTTGAAAAATTAATTAGACGTACAAGTACAATGCCAGATAAACAGAACAAAATAATATAACTTCCATCATAGATTAAAAAAATGTGTTTTAATATTGCTTAGTCAATGTAATTTTTTTTATTAGTCTACTTGTATTATTGGATGTATTTCCTTACATAATTATTATTCTCTGTATTTAAAACTGTAAGTGATCCCTTAGCACAATAATTAATATTTTTTCCATGCCACTTGGCATGAAAACTGTATTCATTTTCCAAAATGTATTCAATAATACAGAAAAACAGGAGTATGCCGAATAAGGCCCACACGGGCCTTGTTTGGAACACTACGGGTGGGCCTTATTAGGAGCCACCGGCTTAACAGTAGTTGAAACTCGAGATCTGTTAATAACTCTGTAAATATACGCCGTCTTAGAAAAATAAAACTACCATATTCAAACACACAATTTAATGTTCATAAATACAAATTTACAGTACAAAATTATTTATAACAACATGAATGTAAACAGATATAACATACCTTGCAAATAAGAACACAGCTTTGCTTTCTTGGTTGCGGCAACAAAAATGAACATAAAAAGCCTAACACAACAATGGCTGCCGAAGTAGTTATTGTCTCGTCCACTAGATGCCAGTACCTAATTGATTGTAAGAGAATTTGGTACTTTTTCGAATTGTTTATGTAAAAACATGAGGGTGGGCCTTGTTAGGAACCGGGCCTTATTTGGTACATGTACTTTATATTATAATTCACTCCATAGTCATATTGAATTTACAATAGAAACAGTACAAAATCAATCCATACATTTTTTAGATTTAAAAATTATCAGACTTAAAAACAAACATAAGTTCTCCCTATTTCATAACCCTACCCATACTGACACGACTATACACAATTCATCATCCCATCCTACACAACATAAATTGATAGCCTACCATAGCATGTTATATGGATTAATAGAAATTCCGATGTCAAAAAACTAATTTTTTATTAACTACTAAAAAATAATTAATAAAATTTTAAATCAAAAACTACATAAAAAGCCCTGAAATTAGTATTTCCACCTCCAGAGAAAAACCGTAATACCTTCTGTTGGATTACATATACAGGCAAAATAACAAAAATAGCCAAACAGATAAAAAAGAAAGGAATAACAGAAGCTTTTAGAACAAATAACAACGTAGGCAAATATATTAAAAACAAGGTCCAAAATAAAAAGCACTTACACAGCGCTGTATACAAATTAAATGTGGCGACTGCCCAAAAACTTACATCGGTCAAACTGGTAGACCTTTTAAGAAACAGCAGAACATAAATTTTTCAATAATAGAAAGCAGTATAAATAAAAATAGCATTTCAATAATAGAAAAACAGATTCTACATGAGCACTTCACCTTCTAGATCATAATCATTCTTTTAATGACGAACTTAAAATTCTTCACATCCAAAATTAAAGCCTTAAGCTGATTAATTAACAAATACAGACATAATTCTGAATGACCAACTTACGACAAACAGTTCTCCCTGTCGAGATTCTAAATCTGTGCATATCTTCCTATTCTAGCCCATTTCTTTGTCCAAGTTGCTTGTGTTAATTACTCTTATAATGTAAGTTCCTTAGTTCTTCTTTTTCTCTATAGGAATTTCCAATTTTATACTACTTTAATTAGTCGGTTTTCCTCAATTTCAACAACGCGTCCGAATAGATAATATGTGGATTACATTACGTTCTCTGCAATTTTTTTTATTGTATTCTGCCATATTTAAGTTTCAACAATATGAATTGCAGTACCTACTCTTTACAATTTTGCTGCAATTGGTTATTTTTCTTCACTGTAAACTCACTTTATTTCCTTTCTCCATAGTGATATTCGCACCTTTAATTCGTTTGTATTTCTTTATTATTTATTTATTATTGCTGCGATTTGACTACAGTTCTCACATCCCTTTACTTTGACATTTTCGTCTTTTAAAATCAGATCCTTGTTTCTTCATCTATGCACAAATATTTTATTCTGTATAAGTTTTTGTCATTACTACGTATTGGTAAATCAATAATAAATATATTTCAAATTATTGTTTAAATTTTAAAGGTTTAATAAAACCAAATTTCTGAAATAATTTTACCTGAATATGAAAGAAAGTTATTTTATTTTGTTCATACAGCTTGGTGTGATCAAATGTGTATTAATTGATTTAGACGATATCTTAGCTATAGAGATAACCTCTGAAAGTCATAATAAAATTATAAGACCTTAAACATTGTTACCATGATTATCAACATATCTTACCCCATTAAGGCAAATACAAAAAGTTCTTGAGGATCAAATGGAAAGTCCATATAAAAGTTCGTTTTAAAAACGGCACTAACGGTATCGGCTCTTTGAAACCACACTGCCAGTAGACGAAATGTTGTAGCTCCACAAACTGCAGCAAAAAATCCTCTCCAATAATTTCGAACCGCAAAATATGTTGTGGTTACTTCGATACTGAATAAGACTCCTATTAAAAGGGGGAATTTGTATTAAATATAATATATATATTCCTACAAAATATTAATAATACAGAAATAGGTATACAATCCAAATTTAAAATATTCTTAAGACTCATCACGTTGTTTATATTTGTTTAATAAGACCATTTTTATATTGCAGATTGTAAAACTGTATTGTCAAGGTAACACATCGTTTCAAATGATTTTTAATGACGATGATTTCTTTTCTATGGTTTAAAAGTGAAGCTGCAACATATTACAACAAAATTGCTTTTTGCTCGGAGTTACCCCGTACTTACTTGGAGGAATACCTCGCAATGACATTTTTTCAAAATAATTTTTTTTCTTCAAAATCCGTAAAGCTTCAAACTTTCATGGGAATAACCTTTCCAATAGATACAAGTTTCAGTAGTTAAATTATGGATGTTTGTGTGCACATAGGAAACTTTTTGTAAGTAATTTCCCTTAGGTGCGCAGAATTTTTCCGAAGTCCCCCGTAACGATTCATATAAATTAGGGATTTGGAGTACTTTTGTTTTAAATCTCACCATTTAGGGACACTTGGGATGACTTTAGGATACTTGGGACACGTTACAAGAGGCGCAAGATATGAACTGCTTTGAATAATTATTCAAGGGAAAATAGCAGGAAAAAGGTCCATAGGAAGAAGACGAAACTCCTGGCTAAAGAATCTACGAGAATGGTATAACTGTAGCAACAACGAATTGTTTCGGTCAGCAGTTTCGAAAATACGTATAGTCCTGATGATTGCCAACCTTCGGAACGAAGATGGCACTTGAAGAAGAAGATTTAGGGAAAGATCCAAGGTAAACGTAGTACAGATAGAAGAAAAACATCATAGCTGAAGAATCTAAGACAATGTTAGGGAGAATTACATTAATATTTAGAGCTGATGTCAATAAAGTCACAAGAGCGAATATATTAGCCCATACGATATCGAACTATCGATAACGATAATAGAACAAGAAGAAACCAAAATTATTCAAACGTGTATTATTTTAGCTTTTGTAACACAACGATAATGTTTTTCATAAGAAAAAAATCAAAGTTACATCTTTTTTAGCACTTGATTTTAATCATAATATAGTATATCATAATAATCATAATATATATAATCATAATCGTAATAAAATAGTTTGTGATCATTGTCCATAATTTTCTGATTCTAAATATGTAAGTTACACGTACAAGTCTTAAAGGCACTTTCCTTTTTATTGGTTTACCATTTTATCAAATAATATTTTAGCTTTGCTCACACACCGTCAAAAAACAATAAAGTCAACAGCCATTCGTTAGTGGTATGACTAATAACACACAGTCCTTCCCATAATTATTGATTCACCAATAAAAATGTAAACATTTAAAACTAGTTTTACTGATAAAGACGAAAGAAAAATTGGACTAATAGTAAGTTTTATTGGTTTACCGTTTTATCAAATAATATTTCAGCTTTACTCACACACCCTCAAGAAACAATACTTTTAGCAGTTATTCGTTAGTTGTTAGAGTACACACCTAAAATTATGGATTCACCAATCTTAAAACTAGTTTTACTGATAAGACGAGTAAAAAACCTGTCCCAAATGTATCTGACTAATAGCAACTTTTGGGTGTTGTCGATTTATAACTGGTTTTGATTTGGACGAATCACATTGTCAGTTACCTACTTTACAGTAATTACATTTTAAATAGGAAAGCATTTTTGTCAGTTTGGAGTGTTTTAATTAAGAAAATGTTATATTAAAATAAAATAAAGCAATATAATGTTTGTTAAAGTAGTTCTTCTTTAGGTGCCGTCTCTAATGGGGTTGGCGATGACTGCAAATTTGTCTCTGTGCTTTTTTGATTATGGTTTTGAGGACTAGTCCTGTCTAATTCATAATCTTACGTAACCAGCTCACTTGTCGTCTGCCAGTACCGCCCTTTTCTTCTATTTTTTCTTCCATTATTAGTTGAAGGAAGTTTTATCTCTCATGTCTAAATATATTATATATCTAAGATGTTTTCCGGTTTTTAATTCTACATAATTCTTCTTAAATAATAAAGTTCTACACGTTCTTTATTTCTCACATGGTCAGTCCTTGGACTTTCTAGAATGCGGCGGAATATCCACATCTCAAAGTTTTCAAGGCTTCGTAACGAGCTAATTGTCAACGTTCAGGCTTCCATGCCATGTAGTAGGATAATGTGTATCTTAGCATTTTATTATGCGATATCGTAGAGTTAAGATCTTGGATTACCCGGTCCGGTGATTCCCCAGCGACCTTTTTATTGCGTTGCGTGCTAACACTGTCATCTGGTGGCTCTACTGCCACTGGCTCCCGACCCCGAGGAGTTACCGATCAGCATTTATTCCTGACTATAGTAAAGTAAGGTTTATATTAAAAAGTGAAGGTCTGTACCAGTTTCGTTATACTTTTGACGCGAGTTTATGAATATTGGTGATAAAAAGTACATTATATTAAAATTATCTCTTATTTTACTATGCCTGACAGTGACTCTTCAGTAAAAAGTATGTCTGCTGAGTCATTTGGCTCCGATTATGGCCCAAAATATTTACTACCGAAAAGCGATGGACATAAACGAAAGCGTTACGTTTTAAGTAAATATGAAATAATCATTGAGACTAACTCGACTACTATTGCGAGTGTGAATACTGAGGATGACAAAACTGAAACCAGTGAAACTGTAACTGTCTGTGATAGTGGCAACAAAAGAAAAAAGTTGCAGTATTTACCAATGCACGATAGAGGTAGTAGTAGTACTAGAGGCGATACTGGCAATACAAACAGAAGAAAATTCTGTTACTTTTTTTAAATTGAATTGGACACCCGTACCAATGGCATAAGCAAATGATAAGTTAGTCAAATATATACCAGGTTTATAAAAACATAATAAAAGTGTTCTTCTAAAAATTTTGGAATTTCGGGGTTATAAAGGCACTTAAAAGCAAAGCATGGCATGTTATTAAGAGTTTTCTCAAGGGATGCCTGATTGAAGCAAGTTTCAATGTTCTGCGTCAAGTGAAAGTATTTTTGAAAGACTTTTTGAAATTAGGGCCAAATTCATTTTACAAGCTCTCATTTAACTTAAACATATACCTAAATGTTTTATTCAGTTAAGAGTTATACTTAATTCAGTAAGGGTTAAAGATAGTTTAGTGGTTCTCGAACGAATGTTTTAGGTACCAACATGCTCCAAATTAAACCCAAAACTGTGTTTCATTGGCATCTTCAACGATTAACTAAAAAATAAATTATTCCGATAATCCCAATATTAGTTAAAAAATCCCGCTGGAAAGGTAGATTTTGACATGTTGACATACAACAAATATTTCACATTTTAATCACTATTGCCAGATTTAATTTTATGACAGGTTAACAAATGACAATAGTTGATCTTTGGCTGAGACAGTTATCTGATTTCTTAACTATATCATAATTTATGTAAATTAAAAGTTCATCAAAGAAAATAAGAAAAAGAAGGTGTATGGTAAATTTCATGTTGATCAATTGAAAAATGCGAGCAGGATTGTGCAAACAAAAAAATCTCCCTTCCTTCCCATACGTAACATACATAGGTAGACACTCGAATTTGTTTTGAAAATCTACCCAAAATATTTGTTTTTTCTTTAAACAAGATTTAATATTTTTTAAAGCACCTATTCTCATATTTAAATGCAGAAGTGGCTCTAAAGTCAAAATCTCATTGACTATTGATGGGTGGTCATCTATTGGTATGAAGGAGTAATATTTCATTACAGATCACTTTGTGGACAAACATTGGAAAATTTAATCAATTGTTTTAGACTTTGTGCCTGCTAAGGGAAGCCATACAGGTGCATCGGTTGCCAAGATTCTCTTTTGAGGTGCTAAAATCTTAGCATGGCCTGGACTCTTGGATTTCATTCAAGGTGTGACAACTAATAATGTAGCTGTTAACTTTACAATGATAAGTTCTCTCATCATTGTAAATGGATGTAATAGATCTCAATCATGTAATGGAGATCCAGAATCTACAAAAGAAGGTGAGTAGCAGGAAACTATCTACAAGCGGCCCAATGTAGAGAATATTGGAAGAAACTTGAGGAAGACCTATGTCCAGCAAATAAAGGCGATTATCTGAATGATGATGATGACACCTTGATCCTCATAGGCCTGCAAAACTAACCGAAATATGCACATAATCGTCTAGGAATAACATAGAAAATTTGATAGTAAATATGTTTTGCACAAAAAGGTACTTAATAATTATTTTCTTGCAGATTTACTTTATATATTTATTTGCACTAAATCTATTATTTTCTTTGCACAGGTGATTTACGTAAGAATATTTATATTTAATTTGTTCTGTGTATATTATGTTCGTACTATGGAATATTCTTTAAATATTTTTGGATCCGATTGAAGTGATTTTACATTTAAGCAGTTTTAGGTTTTATAATAAAAAAGTAAACTTATAGCAGCAAGTACCTGCATACCTCCAACTGGTGCAGCAAAACAACTTGCTACTCCCACAGCGCAAGCAGCCGCCAACATTTCGGTGGTTCTGTTTTCGTTTTCGTAGATTCCTTGAAATCCCGTTACTAACTTACTGAGTAACGTTGCGGTTATGCTAGCAATGTGTACGAAAGGACCTTCTTTTCCTAAGGGCATTCCACTCCCAAGGGTTGCTGTAAGACCTATTGCTTTTGCTACGAGAGTTCTAAACGTTAGGTACTCCTTCAAAGTTACACCTCGGAGTATGGTTTTCATTTCTGGAATTCCAGAACCTAAAAAATATTAAAAAATATTGGAATTGACGGAATAACGTAGAAAAAAATCTTGGTTGTAATTGGACTTGCCATACAACTTTAAATATTACTTTTTATGTTTGAAATATTTTTGTCATTGTCTGTGATCTATACACATCTCTAAGCTTAATGCATTTTTATAGGCAATCATCGCGGTATGTTAAATAAAAGGGAAGAGAAACAAAACTCAAACAAATTTTATGGCAAACTTGGTCTTAAGAGGAATTTAAAAATTAGAAAACAACACCACCATAATAAGCATTACCTAATAAATATTTGAAATATATCTGAATACGATAATCTGAAGGACATAAAACCAAATATTCGCAGAACTACATACTCCAGTCGTCACGGACGAAAATGCGACTGAACCTTTAAAAATCATACTAACGAGCTAAATTTTGCTGTAAATGTCAATTTTGGGACCCAAAATATATGCAAAAAAGTTTACCAACTCGGCTTTCCCCTAAAGCCTCCGTAGGAGGGAAACGAAAAAAATCGATTCACCAAGAATCTGTACGTTGTAGAAAAAATGTTTCAACTAAAAAAATTGAGCTGAGATTATTAAAAAAAAGGTTATTCGCACTTTTTCTGTTGAATCAACTGTTCTCTTACAAACAACGCTTGAAGCGAACGTTGATTTTTAATGTCAGGTATTCGCGCGAAATCAATTTTAAATAAAATTCATAGTAACTCCGCTATCCTAAACTGACTATCCAAAAATTTAATATCTTTTGATCAGAGTATCCTATCGAAATCAAAATGAATTTTTAAGGTGAAGAAAGCAGCTTTCTTATGCAATTTTTGCATTTTGCCGCAAATGAAGTCAGTTTGTATTAAGGTGTTAAATAAATAAAACGTTTAGCGATTCTTACCATTTTTTACAATTCTTATGAGATCAATAATATTTATCACTTCCATTGAACTGGAAATTAATGATAACCACCCTTATTTTTTCAGTTGGCTCTTTCCTTTCCCTTACCCGTTTGATGGCCTTCTCGGCCATTTCGTACATATCTTGTTTTTGGATTAGCCACATTTATGTGTACCATTACATTCTCTGGCTGGCTATGGAACTTTCATTCCCGTTCTTTATATATTCTACATTTCCCTCCTCGCAGACCTCTATTAGTTTATTAACTTCCAAAATGAGAGTATTTATTATGCCTTCTACACCTCCATCTTTTATATTCTTTTTTTGTTATTATAAGGCATTCTTTTTTTAGTTAGCGTCTCCTGTAAGCTCACGTGTTCCCATTTTATTTTTTCAAATACTTTTTTTTCACATGTCTTTTTTGTATTTGATTGAAGTTGTTTATATCCCCCTTTTTTAAAGCGGCTATTATTTTTTCTGTTTTTTTTTTCTTTGCCTTTCTTGTAGTATTTTTATTTTACATTGCTCACACTTAGTTTCTTCGTCCTCTTCTTTCGCCGTTTGGTTTTGAAAAAATGGGTACTTCTATTTTTTAGTTATCCTTTCTCCACCGCCTTTTAGTAGTTGATTTGGTATGTCATCGGGTCCTGAAGCATTTTTTTTTCTTAATTTGCATAGACTATCCTTAGAGTAGAGTGAAGAAGAAGAAGAAGAAGACCAACCTTCGTTAAAAGAAGGCACAATACGACGAAGACTATCCTTGATTTTTTCTTTTGTGATATCTGTGTTTTCAGTCTTATCACTTTCTTCTTTTACTTCTGTTGGTCAATTACTCTCTTCATTGTAAAATTCTTTTATATAGGCAATGTTTTGTTTTATTTTGTTTGGATATTTCTAACCATATGTTTTTTCTATTTTTTCATCATGTAGATCCTATTTCATGTATATTTTGAATCATGTTCAACAAGATTAACAAACATCTTCAATACAACCGCCAAGAAATACAATATGATACTAATCAGTAGAAAAAACCAAATGTATGAAAACATCTAAATATCCACTGCGATGTAAAATCGAAATTGATGAGAAAATAATAAAGTAACGTTTAGATATATGGGAATAGATATAATTAGTTATAGCTAATGGATTTTGACAAGAGCTATGACCTTGTAAATAACAGGTAAACTTATGTACTAAATCGGCATGACTCAAAAATTACCTCTTCTCGTTTACCAAATATTTGATTTCGGTGTTACACCATGGCTTAATTTTTAAACTACTATACTTTATTTTGCAGCTTGTATTAGAAGTACCAATTTACACATCAGTGGTACTCATAATTCTCTATTTTTGCGATCTATTTTAGTCTAGCCAAAAGTTCTAGATAAATCATATTTATGTATAAGTTGGAAAAACTTACCTATCGACTGTGGTGCCACTAATTGCACAAATCCTGTACTGAACAAAATTAGACAGACTGGAAGCGATATCCAAGCTGCATATTGGGCTGCTGGATGCATCGTCAGATCCCGAAATAACCACAGTCTTGCTAAAAAATAAAGTTTATATATTGTTATAAATTTAAAATTATTCAGTTCAATATTTTGTTGATTATTAGATTATTCTTTTATTATCAATAAAAAAGGACTATTTTGTATAAATGAATCCTAATTATAACTTGGATGATTATTTATGTTTTAGTAGATGATCGCTTACCATTATTACATATGGCAATGCCTCTATCCATAAGGAAACTTAGAAGTGCCATAATAAAACCAAGAAGGGCCAAGAAAACCCAATCTTCTCCCAATTTAGCAAAAGTATGTTTCCATAAAAATGAAATACATTTTGCTACTTTACCTAAAAAAAAGATAATTTCCATAATAGGTTGATGAAATAGTAGATACCCCATTCTATTTCCTTCTTGCATTGCCTATATTGACATACTTAATACTTGACATAACTAACTAGCATTGACTTAAATTTTAACACATATTACAAAATTTCAGAGCAATATTACAATTATTTTTTCATAAACTGATTCTGATCTTACAACTACTTTAATAACACTAAATTAAACACGCAGTTCGTTTTTAATCGCGTGTTTAATCTTAAATTTTAAATTAACTTTGATTTGTTTATGTAATTGCTTATTAAATTCCCTTAAGAGACTAGCTGTCTAAAAACAAAACGCGAGTTTATATAAATATGTTCTATTAGCTAAACCCAGTTCATGTACGTAATAAGGCAAACGCAAAGGATTTCGAAAAGGGAAAGGATAAGAAATGAAGAAATAAATAAATACTTTATCTCCTTTTAGACACACATAGTTTGTGTTAAATTAAATAAAATAAACAAGTACACAAACACATTAAACAAACTAACAACAAAATGAGTAATATTTTAAATTAAAGAAATTCTTAAAAAAAAATTGAATAGAAACTGTGTGCAGTTATTTTAATTTAAAGCTTGTCGTGCCCTTACTCAATTTTATACGCATTGGTAGTCTATTAAAAAGTCTGTAACGGTATAAACGTTATATCTTTAGTAATTTATATTTAAAAATTAATTTATTTTCTTTATTAATTTATTAATTCTTTAACCTTCAGTTTATTTTTAATTATTTTTTCTTTAAAAAGTAGTTGGCGCCTTCTCTCTCTTTCTTTCCGGTATAATATATATTCTCTTTCTCTCTCTCTTTCTGTCCGGTAGACTAAATATTCTGTTCTATGTTGACAGAAGAGCTAATTCCACCATAGGCATACGTCCTATGGCAATTGTGCTATACTTCATTGTAGTCACTACCTACTTTCTGTCAATCAGCTTTCAAAGTGGGAATATTCTTTTTTGTCTATAATTGAAATTTATAAAAGTAGGTAAGAAATTTTATAAGGTTTATTTTATGGTCTGCAGAAATATTTTAGGGTGAGTACTTTCATTGTAATCTATATTTTATATTTATGACAGCATTTTCAATATTTATAACCTCGCTTCTTCGAAAGCGACCTTTTTTAATTTTATGCATGTAGGAATCTTACAAAACTTAACTAATCTCAATAATAACTCTATTTCACTTTATGCTTGCCATATGCTATTTGTTTAATTGTGATTTTGTAACATAATTGGCAAAGAAGTTAACCCACTTTGATGTCTCGCTAATGCTGATGTTATATTCTAGTTTATTGGATAATTTCTGATATATTTTATTGGAAAATTTCTGGAATATTCTATGCAATGTTTTATTGAATAGTTTAAATGATTTATGAAATAATGTAGAACTGAATAATTACAGCTGTATGTAAGACCTAGGTGCTGGAGTAGGTCTGGACCTACATGCTCTGGAGGTGGCAACAGAACCTACCCACATAATTTGGAGGCAACATCGTAACAGGCGCAAGCAAGCAAATATACGCCATAAGAATCAGTTCTCAATTTATTTATTGTAAAGCTTTAATCAGGTTTGTTTTTGCTTTGTTTTATATTGAATAAATATGATTAGTTAATTTATTGTTTTATTTGTTACCAACTAAATTTTCATTGTTTAATTCATAGTTTAAGACAAGACGGATTTACACTTGAGAGACTGAGCTAGGCGAAGCATAGGCGATAAGTTCCCATAGTTGATTGAGGTATTATTTTAAAATAGTATTTTAATTCTCTTTGGTAGTCTTATCGTTAAAAGTCTTAATCCCATTATACTAGGAGACCTGAAATATATATTTCCCCTGCATGTTGGCGTACGCAAGGTATCTTTATATCTAGTATTTAAATTATGAACTGGTCTATTGGTTTTAAAATTTTCAAGGTTATTAAATATAAATATACCAGTCTCCAGAATTTACAGACAGGCCAAGGGCAGCATTTTGAAAATATTGTCTGCAATTGGGATTATGAGGGATACCAGCAATACACCGTATTATTCTTTTTTGTGCAATACATGTAGAAATGACAGCGAATACAAAAAAATGCATAAGACTATACTAAAGGAGATGAAAGGAGCAAAAGAAGCATGGCTGACGGAGAAATATACAGAAATTGAAAAACTACAACGCAAACTGACGATTTATTAGGTACATTAAATTAGGTAAAAAGTAGGTAAATTAAAGTGGTACAGAACACCAGGAAACAACGTATTACAAGCATAGTTGTAGCCAGTGAAAGACAGATTTTGACTACAATTGAAGATAAATTATAAAGATGAAAAGAATATGTGCAAGAATTATTCGAAGATGCAGCACGAAGTCCGACTGAAATAAACAACCCCTACGACCCAGAAATAACAAACGAAGAAGTAACTATGGGCAGTAAGCAGATTAAATATAGAAAATCACCAGAACCTGATGAGGTGCATGGTAAAATTTTAAAGCTATTAGAGGCAAACCAAATCACAGCTCTTACGAAGATATTCAACAGCATCTACGAGATTGCTTACAAGAAGACTGGCTACTATCAATATTCAGTCCACTTCTAAAAAAAATCCAATTATCATTCACTCGTGCATATACACCAAATTAGAAGAACACCTGAGTGAAGCTCAATTTCGATTCAGAGCAGGACTTAAAAGGAGAGAAGCACCTTTTTGGTTTGCAAGTCTAATACAGAGATCAAGAGATGTCAACTGCGATATGTATGCATGTTTCATTGATTTAGAGAAGGCATTTGATAAAGTCCCACATGGGAACCTAATCGAAAGTCGATAATCGATAATCGGACTCGAACTGTCCGAGATCTTCACAGTCGAAAAAGGAGTTAGGCAGGGTTGCAAATTGGCACCGGCATTATTTAACATATACTCTGAAAAGATCTTTAGAAAGGCGTTGGACGAATCAGAAGATGGGATTGCTGTAAATGGTCAACTTATAAATAATATTAGATATGCAAACGATGCAGTGTTGCTGGCAGATAGTGCGCAGGAGCTCCACAGGATGATGGATAACGTTGTAGAAACGTAACAAATACGGTCTAAAATTTAATTGCAAGAAGACAAAAATAATGATCATTAGTAAGAACACCAACATAAACGCCCAAATTACAATAGGCGATACACCGTTAGAAAGAGTGGAAAAATACTATTTAGGCTGCAATATTAAGGATACTTGGGATCACAACTACGAAACAAAAACTCGTATTGGAAAAGCCAGAAGCTCTTTCAACAGCCTTAGGAAGATTCTCTGCAACTTATCTTTAAGTATTAATACACGCATAGGAATTCTTAGTAGTTACGTCTTTAGCCTTTAGAATAGAAAGCTGGAGCCTTACAGAAGATGTCGTAAAACGATTAGAGGAATTAGAAATATGGTGCTACCGACGTATGTTGAGGGTCTCATATATACACCACACAAGTAATATAACTATTCTCCAAAGGCTAAGAAACGACAAAGAAATTATTGTCACCGTAAAAAACAGAAAATTGGCTTACTTCGGCCACCTAATGCGTAATAATAAATACCGACTTTTACAATTGATTCTACAAGGTTCGATTGAGGGTAAGAGAGGCCCTGGACGTAGGCGTATATCCTGGCTTGTTAGTATTAGGTGAACTAATCTAACGTCAACTGATTTATTTCGAGCTGCTGTGAATAGAATAAGATGGATCCATGTGGTCACCAATATCTCTGTAAGATTTACAGGCACATTTAGAAGAAAATAAGATCAGGAGAGGCACGGGAATAGAAGGTGCAATATTGGATCACATACAACGAATGTAGCTTATATAGTACGGGCATGAACGGCAAGTAGTAAACAATAGACTCCCGAAACAAGTATTCGTATGGACATCTACAGTAAGACAGAACAGAGAGAGAGAGACCGAAAAAACAATGGATAGAATAAGTAAGAAAATCATATAAACTCGAAAGAGCTTAGAGGAGGATAATGGCACAATTGACGTGAATAGAAATTGGGCACTGGACAACGTCGAAATAAAATGTTTCTTTTATTTATAAGTATTACTCTAGTCAGAGTAGATAGCATCTTTAAGAGGATCAATAGAGAAATAGATGATATACGTATATCATACAAGAAGAACAGATCATACAAGGTAGATAGCAAAGATTTCGGATTGGAGTCCAATAATAAGGAGGAAAAGACGTAGACTCCAAAGACCATGGAGGGATGAAGTGGACGAGGCCATGGAAAGACGAGACCTTAGAGATGGAGAATGGCAAAACAGAAAGGACTGGAGACGTTGGCTGAAAAAAGGAAGGCGGCGACAGCTGTAAAAATCCTTATATAGATAGATAGATGATATGTGGTTATTTGGCATAAATGGATAAAATTGTAACACTTAACGATATATTATTATAAATATCAGATCAATAAATATAACAAATAAAAGAAGTTGCATATATATTATACAACATCTAGGAGTTATTTAGTAAAGATCGTATGAATATACGCAAAGCAGGCGTAAAAGTTGAATATAAGAGAGAAAGAAGAATGTCAGAACATATATCAGAAAGAGAAAGACAATGAAGATGTGGAATTTAGCTAGACATATTGGAGAAAACGATCCATATAACGATTCGTGACTTTAAACCGAGTTTTCATTAGCATTAGAATATTTTGGCACTTGAGATGGAACTACAATAGAGTAACAAACATCTTACCTTGTTTAGATTGTAGATCTAGATCGATACTGTTGCGACGATCAGTGGTCTTACTAAATATGCGTGATATCACCATATTGTAATCACTAACTACTTCTTTGTGATGCCAAGAAACGACTTGTTATCTGAGTATAGGTACAAGGTAATGCATATTAATAGCTGATATTTTTAATAAAACTGCATCATCCATATACAATACGCAAATTCTTTATCTTATTGCACCCATTTATTTTATGTATGTTAAACGTTTAC